GGGTAGCTGAAAAAGATAGTACATAGTACCACTACTCGCCACTAGATGTCGTTAAGTGTCACAATACACAATAATAATTGAAATGCAAAAAAAACGTAAGTTTGCTTAGATCACGCACTTTGCGACTATCCTAGTCTAGAAATATAGTCAAGGACAGAAATTGGCCCTTGGAAGAAACTGAAAAAATCATTATGGCCCGAAGGCTTCAAAGTTTGGAGACCCCTGATCTAGGCGAAACATCATTTAAGGAATTGATAGTTATCAAATGAAGGTAATTTCTCAGTTATTTTGTGGTATGTCCAGTTACAAGAAACTTCTTTGGTCTTTGAATCCGAATATGTGAAACATGTTCTTTGTGTCGAGTTATTGTAGTCCGCTTAGTTTGACCAACATACTTTTTATAAAAATTCGCACAGACTTTTTCTATCACGTCGTCTTGTCTTTGTTCGAATGTAAGAGGAGTTTTGAAGGCCAACGTCGTACTGTATTTCGCGAAAATTTGGACCAATTCATTGGTCCCAATTCATGGTCCAAATCCATTTTTTGCACAAAATTGTATGCAAATTCTGTGATCCAGTTTTCGATATCAGAAAATCGCCGAACACACGAAATCTGAACACGTATATCCCATCAGAAACGGCGAGTTTCTTACTGTTTCACCTAAAAGTTACAGGTAGACAGCAGTTAAATATTGGGCGTAATAACAGGTAGGTAGTCAATTATATTCAGATTGGAATTAAAATACAATCACAAAATAACACAATAACTAATAAGAAGAATTGATTAATGACACTAATCTGATAGTCTTCATTTGATGTATATAAAAGTTCTAATAGTTAGTTGTAGAATTTAGTTTTGTCATAACTTGATAATGCTGACTTGTTTAGCGGAATGCGCGTCGAGAGAAAGTATATTTGTTCCGTCGTGAAAAGTATGTATAGACAATTTTACCCGTAGTTATTTCGAAATCCTATATTTTATGTTATGTTGCTAGCTTCTCACCACTGACATACTTCATACTTTGGGTTGTAAGTTTCTTCAATTCTAAACGTTTTAGATAACACATAGTCTTCTCCTTATGAAGTCAAACTACCCAAAGGGAAAGTAATGTTTTTTGAATAATAAACATTCATTATTCTTGGCTTCATATCATGGAGTACTACAGGGATCTGTGTTGGTACCGGTACTGTTTCTCATATATATAAACGACATCATTAATTGCAGTTCTGATACAAATTTAATCATATTTGGTGATGGTACCGATATTATAGAGATATAAACAGAGTGATGAATCCAAAGTCACTGAATGCCTTCGAGATTCACAGTCAAAATTCCTTGAATCGTTCACCTGCAACCAACTATGTATGGATGCTGATAAAACTAATGCAATGAACTTCAACCTATCAAATGTCCCATCTTGCAGAAACAAAAGTTCTACTGGAACGTTCCTGGGTATGAAAAGCTTGGTTGGCAATGTCATACTGACTTTTCAGCCAAGATAGTAACATCTACATTCTTGTTGAGACGTTCATTCAATACGGTGTTGAAATTACTGCTAAAATCAGCCCATTTCTCATTCATTCAATCAATAATTGGTTTTGTTATTTTCAAAACAATGGATCAAAAACAATTTCGTATTTTAATTTTACACTGCCTCTTGATGGGAAAAAATACCGTTCAAGCGAAGCAATGGCTTGAAAAGTGTTGTAAGTACACCATTCTATCAGAAACAACAATTAAACGGTGGTTTGCTGACTTCAAACGTGGTCGTAGAGACACCGATGATGCAGAAAGCAGTGGACGTCCAAATGATACAGTAACACCAAAAAAATTTTGAACAAAAAAAACGCTTTTTCCTTCTTATGTGCGGGACTTTTTAGTCCAGGTGTTATAATGTATAATGTATATGTACTATTATTAAATAAAGTATGTATGTGATTGTAAAAGTTATAACAATTCTCAACGTATATGAAATACACACAATATATATAAATTGATGGATGTGGCCGTTACTACGTGGTAGGAAATCATAATGAAGAAAAGAGAAATGAAACTTTCTATGTTACAAATAAAAGTGCGACCTACACTCTTAACGAACCACCAAGACATTATTTTCAAAGGGTTGTTTCCCACTATGTGGAATAGCTGCAATATCATTAACGAAGACTATCGATTTTTCTAAAATACAATAAAAATTGTAATAATGCGGGCTGTACTGAAGGTTGTTCTCCCCCTCAAGCGGACTTTCTGCTATTTCTCTTGGAAACTGGCAAAATGAGAAGGGCGATTCCGAAATGAGGGAAACTGTATGATTCATACTTCTTTACGATATTTAGTCCGAGTGCTTCTATTTCATGAAATGTCGCTGGATATTTCATTCTGACACTGATGTCTATAGGTGAAGGATATTTTAATATGGCCCTTCCGATTTTGAATGAAATCTACTGGAGTGTTTTGTTCGGTAATTGGAAAGATCAAAAATGCTATTTTTGTAAGAAGGTAAATTGGTTTTTATATAAACAGGTCTCAAGGAAATTATGCGAAAAATTGTGTATTCCAGTGCCGCATAACTGGCCTATACTCCGTTCTTCGTATTTTAAGCAGGACATTGCTTTTCAAAACGTGACAAATATGGGAAAGATGAAATGAGTCAACTTGGTATCAATAAAATAATGATAAAAAAACTTTTTGAACAAGCTCTTATTTAAGTGCCCTGAAAAGATCAAAATAAACTTTTCAAATCACATTAACCACATTCATTTATGACTTTACAGAATTGAAATTATAATAAAAGCTTGTCGCGATAATTTCAATTTGTAATTGAAATTTTGTAATTAGGTAGGCACCTACTAAACTTGTAAGCAATTCATAATGTTTGTAATTAAATAAAAGTGCCGTGAATGCTTAAAATGTGGAACTTTAACCTTGAATAACTTTTTTGCACACATAGGATTTATCGGGTTTGAAATTTATTGCAGTACCTAGTTGATCTGTCAGAATGTTTTTTAATTTGAATTTCATCTGACTGAATATGTAGAGATTTCTTCTAGGCATCGCGACAAGCTTTTATTATAATTTCAATTCTGTAAAGTCATAAATGAATGTGGTTAATGTGATTTAAAAATTTCATTTTGATCTTTTTAGGGCACCTAAATATAAGCTTGTTTTAAAAGTTCTTTTATCATTATTTTATTTTTTTCAGTTTCAATCGATAGTTATCGATCAATACGAAAGTCCATCAAAACGGAGAGTCCTTCAACAGAAAAACTTAAGGAACGGCGAAAACTATTATTAGGATGAACTACACACATCGGAAAAGTCTAGGAATATTTTTAAAAATGGCAATAATTTTTTTTTAGATCGCTTTAGGGAAAAAAAAGTTGACGGGTGATTATTATTTAATCGAAATTAAACGACCTCATGCATTTATTTTTATGATATTTAGTATGTTATAAAAATATCCCTAGACTTTTCCGATGTGTGTATATTCTATAGAAGTAGGTAGGTTAGGTTAGGTATACAGCATACCAGCATACCTTATAGAAGAATTAGCTTGTTATATTTCTTAGTCTATTCATTTCATTGATGGCGTCATTATTACGTGACCGAGTCCCAGTTAATTTTGAACAGTCTAATTCTTCTATCAGGAGGCCTTCTATTGATGTGACCCTACTTGAAGCCACGTACGCTTGGCCGGCAGCGAATAACTTTGAACCCAAGTATACAACAGTGTGGCCAACCGTACTACCCTGAATTTTATGAACTGTAAAAGCCCAGCATAAAACAATTGGCAACATTCTACGTTCAGCTGTACCATGGCTTAATTTAGCTGGAAATTGCACAGATTTCGATTGAATAACGTGGATCCCATCTTTGCCGAAGTCCATACGGACTGATGAAATGTCCGTGTCATACATTTGTGCTCTCCGGAAACAGGGCCATATAATTTCTATTATATGACCGATGACACCATTCACTAAACCCTTAGATTGTATCGCAACATCACCTTGGCCGCCACAAATATTTCCAACTCTTTAGGCAACCCCCCAGTCTTGTTTATATCAGATGGTATAATATTATTTAAATCTATATTATCATTTTTTCTAGTACAATCTATTAGATTATCTGGGTTCTTACAACCTACTGCACCATTTATTGTCTTCTTTTTAGAGTCGGGAAGTAGGTAAAGGTAAAAGCTTGATTTAATTTTTTTTCTAGAAATATACTTTTTTATTGAAGCCAGCCCTGGATGTGATATCTATTTCATGGTGTGCCTACCAACTGACTATCATAAACGAATGCGTGTACAAAATTTCGTGTCCCTGCTATTTACCGCTGAGGGGATCTCTCGTACGGAGCCGATCCTGGCAGCATCAGGCCACGTTTATGAATAACATGCATTGTCATCGGTTCTGGACCTGCATGCAAAATTTCAGGTCAATCGGATACCGGGAAGTGGGTCAAATTAAAATTGCAAGATTTGTTAACATACATACAAGTCAAGTTAAATGAAAGCTTTAAAAAAAAGCTTAACTCATAACTGTTATCAGTCTGTTGATTCGTCGAATTGTAATTTCATAATTGTGATTAAAAAATGTGAAAACACAGTTTGATGTGATATTTCCACTTGCCTCCTTACAAAAAATCTGACGTGCTTTTGAATTTTCGCAAAAAAACTCTCCCTGGCAGTATGTTTTTGATGACCTACTCTATATGTAGTTGTATGGAAGTAATCACACTAAATACTAAGTTAATCACTGCTTCTAAATTATTAAAAATGTCTTTTGTTACGCAGGGGCCTATACGACTATTGCATGAAGCCTACAAGGAAGCATGATGACATCCGTCACGTTACCTTCAAGTTCTGGTACTTTGAATGGAGGATATGCCTCAGCGGTGACGGAAGAAATATCAAACAGCAGAGGCGAACTTGATACACCACGCACAATCAAGCGATCCCTGAGCATAACATCGAGCGAGTCGTGCAAGAAACGCAGGAAGCAGTCCACCCCCATCAGGATATCGACCACCGAACCCGAGAGTCCATCTTCTAATTTTGTTGAAGGTAAGCCCGTCGTGCCTTCTCCCGAGCCAAATCTTCGTTGTTCAATCTGCCAACTGCCATTCCAATATCCAGAAGAACTGCAGAATCACATCATCTGCGAGCACCCTCCATTGGAGTGCAAGAAGGAACCCGAAGAACAAATCGCGACGAACCCATCGGTGTCTTACCTGGAGCATTCGGAAACTTCGATGGGGCTGTCCATGATGAGGTCAGAAATGAAATGGATGAATGACATCCAGAACAAGGAGTGGATGAGTTCGAATTTAACCAATCTGCCTTTCAGCCCAGCGAATCCCATGTTCATGACGATGCCGCAATTCTCGCAGCCTGAGAACATTCCTTTAAAGCCCATTCGGATATTCAATCCCGACGCCTACTGCGACCTTTGCAACAAAGAGTTCTGCAACAAATACTTCCTCAAAACACACAAAGCGAACAAGCACGGCATTTACCTGGACAACTCCTCATCCGAGCCCTTGCAGTTGTCAATGTCTGGCCCATCCCTTGCTGGTAATATAAAGTTACCTAACACCGTGCCAAGCGTGGATCTGTCTACCACGAAGACCGAACCGAAGACTCCGATAAACCTGATCAACCCTTTCAACAGTTTATTCAACCCATTTTCCTCTCAGGCTAATTTGTCGGAAGGTGAGCTCAATGAACACGTCGGTATGTCAAACGGACTATCGTCGTCTAGTGAGAGTGATAAAATATACCCAGACGATCAACCTGCCGAAGAAAATCCTAGTCCTAGTAATACGCAAACCGAATCTACCTCAATAAAAAATGATCCTGACGGAATGTTCAACGATACATCAAGTAAACTCTCGTCAGACCAAACCAATCGCGAATTAGATTTACCATATCGCTTAAGAAAGATGGGGGTTATGAATCCCAAGGCTTTTTGTGAAATTTGCTGCAAGGAATACTGTAACAAATATTTTCTGAGAACACACAAGCTGAAACGACACGGGATTTACATTCCAGACGAAAAGGAGAGGGAAGTGAAGGCGGAAAGCGGGCTAACGAACTTTTCTTCTCACAACATACAAACGAGTCCGCTGAATCTTATTATGACAGAGCAGACTAGTTCCGACAGCAAGACAACATCTCCGAGTAACATAACTTGCGACATTTGTGGCATAAAGTTCCAAAATTCCAGTCTGGCTGAAATGCACAACTTGAACGTTCACGGCAAGCTGTATTCTAAAGAGCCGGAGGAGTTCGACAAATCTGTGCAGGACATGAGGAAAATGACAGAAATGTTCAAGGCGACCGATAAATCCTTGAACGCCGAGGCTATAAGTGAGGACCTGCAAAAACTTCAAACTATGATTCTCCAGTTGAACGACATCGATACTAGCAAGGTTTCTGTAACGTGTACTATGTGCAGCAAGGACTTCGAAAACCGATTCTATCTCCACGCACACATGCTTTCGGATCACGGAATTTTGCTGGATGACGTGGATGCAGAAAAAAACACCGAGACGGAAAATATATCCAATAATAACACCATGTGCGATATTTGCGGCAAAGAGTTTCAAAACGCCGAGGAAATGTCTAGGCACATTAGCGAATTCCACTCGAACAGCCAAGCAGGGAACGAAACAAAAGACGATTATAATGGATACAGCAGTGGGGAGAAGCCCCACAGAATATCAGTGTCCAGTAGTCAGATCCCCGAAAGGAGGATTTCGATGAACGTAACCCCAACCAGCAGCTACTGCGAAATATGCAACAAGGAGTTGTGTAACAAATATTTCATGAAAACGCACATGCAACGAATGCACGGCATCGAAATTGAAAACGGAGCACAAATTGGAGGGGTGGTGTGCGATATTTGCAACAAGGAACTCTGCAGCAAGTACTTTCTGCGCGTCCACAAACACAATACGCACGGCATCATAGAGTACGGGGCTAATTTACTCCCTCCTCGTAAGTCCGAAGGGGAGCCACCAGTCCCAACCTCGTCCGCCATGCCCGAACCGGATAATTCCCTCAAGCCGGGAGACCTGGCAGATTTGAGTCACAGATACTTCACCCACTTCACTGAGGTATGCACAATTTGCAGCAGGAGATTCCGGAGCACGAAGTGGTTGAAAGCTCACTTGGTGGCGGACCACGGACAAGCGGGGGCTGAGAAATGGGCCGAAATCGAGCACCAACTCCAGCAGAACCGAGGAACCTCGAAGTCCTCCATTTCGATGCAACCAGACGGATCCAGTCCGAATCTTAAGATCCCCAACGGCAGTCAAGAACAACCGAAACCTGGCATACAAAACTTCATTTCCAGCTTATTCGGAATCGACGATAGTAACACCAAAATGTACCAGTGCTCGTACTGTCCCTTCACGTCGCCTCTACTGCCGCTTTTGTTCGTTCACGAGAGGTCACATTCCTTGACCATGGAGGGAATTCCTATCAAATGTCCGATGTGTCCCCAGACTTTTTCGGAACGGGAACTGTTGCAACGTCATATATTGTCGCACCATCCCTTTCTCTTGCCCGCAACGATCAAAGAAGAGGACTGCGGCGGTCTAAAGGAGTCATGCAGGAAAAGAGTTGAGGACGCAGAGACCGACACCGATCAGCCAAAGCAAGAACAAAATACATTCGGTAAAGATGTTGAGAAGAAAGATATCGCGAAAAGTAGAAAACAATCAGTATCACCGATCAAAATACAACAAGTGGAATTGTCTTCGGAGATCGGACAATCATTGAGAGATGTAGCGAAAAGAATGCAGTGGCCAGCTACTTACGCAATCCCGCAAGGCCAGCACCAGCAGTCGGAACAAGACCAAGAAGAATCGACGTTTCCATCAGGGCCAGGGTATGTTATGCAGGCTTTTCTATTGGAAGAATCAACTTCCGAACGCAGAGTGGTACCCTCCGTGGTTTTTTTACCCATGCTGCAGAAACAGCCTGCCCCCATTACTGTTACTTTTACACTTACCCCGGCCTAACAGAACCTCACACGTAGTTTGCATATATGTGTTATATTTTTTTAAGAAACTATCGATGGCGATTCCACGACACCTGTGATTTTTTTAATTTAATTATAATTATTGTATAATCCTAAGTATATAGATATATAAGCGATTCCTATATTTGCAAGATACCTCATATATTATGAGAAGGAACATATGAGCACATATTTTTATGCAAATACGGAAAGACTGAGTGAAATTTTTATATAGTCTGTTGATTTTCACTTAATATATCGAGATACTGATGTTTTGTACGATAAAGCTTTAGGTGATGTTTAAAGAAGTTCCTATTTTATATCTCGATATAATAATATAGTTCACAAGTATGTACGTATTCAGTTGTTAGATGTAGCTTGCTCAACAGTCAGTTAAAATGTTCCGCGTATCTAGTCCATGCAACTCAGGGTTAGCTGAAAAAGTACAATCAGCCACACGCGTTTCTGGAAAAGCAGGACGCTTTCCTTTCTCGAGTTCCTGACTAGTAGCATAGGATATTGATATATCATTACCAGTCACTTGTCCTTCCTAAGGTCTAAACAAGGTGTCCCGTACACATTTTGGTCAACTACGTATTGTTTATAGCCCGGTTCGCTGAATTCGAAGACACAAACAAGTCGCTTGGTACAATGACACATAAAACCACCGTTCAGAACGTTTCCAACCCGAATTTGGTAAATTTTCGTTTTGTGGACACCCGGCGATTTTGAAAAAATTTTTGACTGTACTTACGTATTTTGATGCGTAGTACAGGGGTGAGTGGCGGGGGATCGCTGTCTCTCTCTTATGGGTGTTTGACAGTCCCCCGGTGCAGACCACACGGCACTCACCCAGTAAAGTTATCGGTCAACCACCCAATCCCGCATCTGCGGGCAACAGGCGTTGGCCGATTTCAAGCTAGATGTGTGGAAGAGGTGTCTCGCAAGAGCTCAAATAAGAGGTCAAAAGAATCCAGGTTTTTCCCGGCGAATAATCATTTATTTAATTGTCAACCAAGTATTGGAAAAATAAATATTTTGAAATTGAATTTTTACAACTTTTGAGCTATTTTTGCGATTAAATTACTCTGTGTGGAATTACGAATCGAATGGCTACCACTGACTTAGAAAAAAGGGGAAAGTTGCTAATTATTCCATCTTTTTTTGTCTTAACTAACATGAATGTTCAGTGCAAAAGGTTCAGAATTATAAGGCAGGTAGAGATTGTTTGAAATTTATTCACATCAAATTTACAAGGAATTGGTATCCGTTTACTAATTGAGATTATTACATTGAGAGATTTGTGTTGATTGTAGTATATATATCGAAAAGAATTTCGTGGAATTTCCCAAGACTTTTTTAAATATTATTAATATCATGTGGTTATAGCTTTGTTGAAATAATTATGAAATAATAGTGGTATACTTACAGCTTAGACTCTAGCAAGCACTTGGAAAAATTCAATTGAATTCAAATCCATACGAAGCATAGAATTTAAAAATAACAATGCATCAAACCTGAATTATCTGTTAAATAATCTGTCCACCAGTGTAATCTTTCTTCTTTATAGAAAAACTTTTGTTAGTTAATTATTCAATGCAATTATCCAACAAAATTGTGGATAAACCACAATTTTGTCAGTGCATCAACATTTTATTTTGAAATTCTGATTCACCGTGGAATTCAAAATAAAATGCTGTCAGATTAGACAATTCAAGTTTTGAATAACTCGTAATTTCTTGCGTTATCAAAAGTTGCCAATTTTGTCAATTTCAGTTCTGATAATCATAAGTTATTTCTATGATACAAGTGGCAATTTTTGAGAAACCTGAGCTGGTTTCTTTCAGCTATAAAAATGTCCCTTCCTGCTAATTTATAATTAACATAAAAGTCAGGAAAGACACCCTGTATAGGTATCTCATTCTCTAATAAAAATATACTTGTTTGAATACATTTTGTAATCCCACTACACTTCTGTT